TGTTTTAGTTCTTCCTAAAACCTTGTAAGACAGAATGAAAAGTTGGCAAATTGTGTGCAGAGATGTTATTTATTAATGAGTTAACTTTCCGCGCTCTCATCATCTTTCCTTTCGAGAGGATGCTGCAAGCCCAGGTAGGCACTATCACTCAGTGGAGACTCCGGGAGACAACTCCTGTTTTACTCTCCGTTCATATCAGATGATTCATCAGAAAATTTCCTTTCTTTTAGGGATGAAAATATGACACAAAGCAAGGCAAAGTGTACAAAGACTTTCCCTTCTTCTGTTTGGTTTGTCTGTCGTGAGGTTTTGGTTTCTAGGCAATGGAATCCCTTCTCCCCTTTCTTTTTTTCTTTTCCTTTCAGACGTGTATGTTCAGGGCATCACGGTAACTGAGCTAAATGCCAAGTGAGCTCCCCGCTGTGTGTGGTCATCCACACGCCACCCATCCGCTGGCCACAGAGATTCAAGCTATTTAATTTCGGAAATGACATTTCTCCACAGTTCTTCCAAGATAGCAATTTATGTCAATCATCCCGGAACCCCTTCTGCCAATGACAATGTCAATGGACTTGAATTTCCTATTGACTTTGGGGTGAGAGGGCTATCTCTTTGACTCTTCTGAGTGGTACCTTTCACTATCATAAAGTTTACTTCCCAAGGAATTTTCCTTGTGATCTCAAACCTAATCTGACCTTCCTTTTATAATCGCGCAGAAAAGGAGAAATTTTTGCACCATGTTTTATTGCCAGGAAGCCTGGGTCTAGTTGACTGACTTCATAATGGACTCCTTCTATGATTTTATTCTAGATAAACTCTGTTATCACTCAGGGAGGGGATAAAAGTGACCAGGGCACCCAGATTTAGGGACATCAGTGCACTGTTGCCTCCTTAAATATAAAAATAAACCTGCAAATTGTTTTGCACGTGTAAATTCTAAAAAATGCTACATTCGTACAAATAAAAAGATGTGTCTCTTCTTCAATATTATTGTGAAGCTTTGAGAAAACATGTATGCGTCTTGGAGATGGGGAAGGATTAGATTTAAATTCATGTCTAACCTCCTGAATGCATAGCTGGGATTCTTCTGTGTGTCACTCAGACAAATCAAACATCTGCATCTGAAGGACACAGGTAAGGTTAACAATAAGTATATCATTAAGAAAAAACAATTTTGACAATATTTACATTCCTCCACTTCATTTAAACATGTTGGCGATCTGAATATTTTTATTTTACAAATAGTTTGCAAATTCTATTTCGAAGTGTTAAGAAAAGTGATTGTAATCCAGAAGGAGACAGTGCTCTGGGATAAAGGTAAATGAGATGGGGATCAGAAGGGAACTGCTTCTGCCTGTGCCTCAACCTTCCCATTCCCCAGTGAGAGGAGGGACTCCTGGACAAGCTTCCTGCAGCCATCCCTCCCAGGGAGCTGCTCCTGGGAGCAACACGAGGCCTTCTCGCTACCCACTTTCCAACTCCTACCTTGTGAAAGAAACAGGTGCTGACTGGGCACGGTGGCTCACACCTGTAATCCCAGCACTTTGGGAGCCCGAGGTGGGTGGATCACCTGAGGTCAGGAGTTCAAGACCAGCCTTACCAAAGTGGTGAAACCCCCTGTCTACTAAAAATACAAAAATTAGCTGATTGTGGTGGTGGGCACCTGTAATCCCAGCTATTTGGGAGGCTGAGGCAAGAGAATTGCTTGAACCTGAGAGGCGGAAGTTACAGTGAGCCGAGATTGCACTATTATACCCCAATTTGGGCGACAAGAGCAAAACTCCATCTCAAAATAAAAGAAAAAGAAAAAGAAAAATGAAACAGCTGCTGCTGATCTAAAATAGGACTTACTGCCCTGAGGGAAATTTCCATTTTTCCTCTGCCTGGGCCAGAACTGAGCAAGTCAATTGTCCTGGCCATGGTGCCCTCACTCAGGGCTCTCCAGGGTGGCAGCAGAGGCCCCTGATCTCTTCTGCATGCCAGGCTGCCTTTCTCTCTCAGTAAAGACTGCGTTTCCTTTCTCTTCCCTCTCCCTCTCCCTGTAGCCGCTTCTCAGCCTGTAGGTCTTTGGATCTAGGAGATGAGAGTTTCAAAACTGTTAGCATCTAACTTTGATGAGCACTTTTGTGGCTGGCAAAAATAAATCATAAGTTGGTATTTCAACTCGTATTGTCCTCCATCCTAGAGGAGATAATAGAGAGAAGGGATGAATGATAAGATCTTGTTAACGAAGTCCCATTGCTCCCAACAGGAGCAGTGTGGTGTGGGAAGGAGCGGTTACGCCTGTGTGCTGTGCACGAGTGAACTGAAAGCACATGTCAACTCATCGGCAACGTTAGGCGGTGTCCATACTCTTCAAATCAACCCTTTTCCTCTAGCTTTTAAAGAATCTTCTGAGGACCAAATCTTCATAAATCCCATTTTTGTAAGGCTGCTCCAGATCAATTATCGCCTTCAGGAGCCTGTGCTCTGTGTCCCCTTGTGGGCTAATTGAATGTGTTGTTAATGCGAAGCTGATTGCTCAACGTTTGATTTTCCACTTAAAATTTTGGTTTCGGGGATGGGTGTAGGATGGCAAATAAAAACCCTATTTTCCCCTCCTGCTTTGGTATCTATTAAGAAATCAGACATAGGGGACAGAAATGTAAACTAAAATATCAGCTGTGTTACTATTAAGCTGATTAGAGAATATGGTTTAGATATGCACCCCCTTGCCAATTTGGCCATTTTAGGATCAGGGCCCAATATGGGCAAAGCCAGCTTCTGTAAGCTTGCAAAGAGTCAAGAGCAGGTCAAAATGCACCCGGCAGGGGACAGGTGGATCCAACAGAGACTAAGCTGTGCCCAGCCCACCAGGTTCCACTCATTCTCCGCAATTCACGGCTCACAGAGGTCTCTCCTACCCAACCAGGAAGGAGGGAAGAAGGGGTAGGGAGAAGCTGGAAATGTTTTTCCTGGGTTTTCCATGCTCAAAAAGTGACACAAAAATTTTCTTCTTTCTATGGTAACACTAGGATTGCAGAAGATTCCTGTTTACAATTGTGTGAACATTTGTGTCCCCAAAATTCCTCTGTTGAAATCCTCATCTCCAAGGTGATGGTATGAGGAGATGAGATCCCTGGGAGGTGACTGGGTCTTGAGGGAGAAACCCTCACGAATGGGATTAGTGTCCTTATAAAAGAAACGTCGACGAGCTCCCTCTCCCCATCCACCATGTGAGCACGTGGCCTGAAAGCCCCATCTACGAGCCAGCAAGTGGGTCCTCACCAGACACCGAATCTGCCAGTGCCTCGATCTTGGACTTCCAGGTTCCAGAACCGTGAGAAATCAATTCCTGTTGTTTATAAGCCACTTGGTTTCTGGCATTTCGTTATAGCAGCCTGGTCAGCGTAAGACACTCTTGGCACATGAAGCCACCTCCGACATCATTAGAAAATGAAATAAAAATTAGATAGCACTTGTAACATGCTTATCACAGCATCTGCCACACAATAAGCTCTCAATCCATGTTACTTTTATTGTTGGTATCATTATTGTGCCATATGAAGGTCGATAGCACCCTCAGATTCCAAAGTATTCTTTTCTAAATAAAACAAAATAATCTACTTGGTATTTTGAAAATGATACTACGTTTATTAGAAATGCCTTCTATTCCTTTAACAAGAGCTGGTGAAGACAGGTTGATGAGAGGGGCAGGCGCGGCTTCCCAGAGATTGAAACCTTTTCACCTTCTGCCCTTGTCTTCTCCTCCTTGATTCATTGTTTTCATGGGCCATAAGCACAGAGAATTTTTGTTTCATTTAGCCGTGTAACATCCCATATAGACCAACCGCAAAGACTCTTCTCCTGGCCAATGTACCTGGAAGTGTCCATTTTAGGGGGTTGAGTGCAAGGTATGCAAGCTGCAGCCTGCCCCACTTCACCAGTGCCTGTGCACGCAGAGCTGTCTTGGAGTGACTGTGAGGGAAGCCTGCAGCTTGTCACGGCAACTGAGCAAAGGTGTGATGTGGCCGTGTGGACACGAAGGAATGGCTCTGCCCAGCTGCATTCCAGATGAACACTCCAGGATATCCATGGAATGATGAGTAATTTTACTCCTACCAACAATGTCCCAAATACTGCACTGCTGTGTACGTCATGTGCCAGTAAGCCTTTAGAAATCACAGCTACTGTAGAAGCAAAGTACCATTACCCTTATTGTATAGATGCACAAACTGACTCGCCTAGAAAGGAAGTGATTACGTAGAGGTGCAAGAGTAGTAGGTAACAGAGCTGGTTCAAGCTCATGCCTTTGTAATACAAACTCAGGCTTCATTTTTTTCTTTGGCACCAAGACTGCCCTCTTTGAGAAACAACAATATTTGGTGTTTTTTTTCAGGGAGTGGGGTTCTGGGGTTTCATTTATCATGAAATATGCATTATGCCTCTGCAATAAACTGGGTGCCAGGAAAAAGCCATCTCCCCTGACAACTACAATACAGTGGAGGACACTAAGGACTGAGAAAGGGTAAAGATGGGGCATGCCATGGGCAAGCACTTACGGGGGGGTTGGGCTGAGTGAAGGGCTACTGGCGTTCAGGAAAGCAACCTTGGCTCAGGTAAGAGTGGGCAGCTTTCAGCCAGAAGCAGGGTCTACAAAGTGAGGGGCGGTTGGCACTGGAACAGAGGTTACTAAGGCAGAGGGACCAGGGAGGCAGAGGGCACAAGATCATCTGAGCCATGTGGAGACCTGGAAGCAGCTCAGGAGAATCACAGCCAGGGAGAATAGCAGGAATTAGTGCAGCAGTGAGATCCAAGGCGGGGGAGGTAAGCAAGCGTCCAATTTCACTAGCCAAGAAATTGTTGGTGTTAGCCTACAGGCACTGCTTAAGTTTACATAGGTTGCAATCATTTTGACCTAGAAGCTGGGAGCCAAGAGAACGGGTAGGACCTGTGCTGGCAGAGACTGTAGTGGGAGATAATGGTGATGATGGTCTCTACTGTCGTCTAAATCTTTTCAGGATGAAGACGTATGTCCAGCTAGAATCATTTGTCCTTAAACCAGGTTAAGTTGCCGTCCATGCCAAATGAGTATTCAGGACAGAGGTCATGTACAGGTACAGTCAAAACTTAAAATCTTGTAAATTATATATAAAATTATTTGAAGCTATTTAACACCTGATAGCACCAAATAATAAATTCTTTGGATAGCTTCACAGCAACATTGCCTATGGAGCAAATTGGGGCAATACACGGAAGAGGCATTTTTCATTTTATTTTTTGAAAAGTGGTCCCTTCATCCCTCTGGAATAACTTTTATTTATTTAGGAACTCCTCATTCCGGCTTTCTGAATCTGATCTGGAAGATGGGCATTGTTTGGACATCACCGTTCTTTAGTAAAGGTGGTTTGGCCAAGCAAAATCCCAGGCAAATTCTGTTTTGAATTCCCTTGGCCTCCACAGAAGCCATCAATTTCAGCTACCTTCTGTCTGGATGTCCCTGCCAACAATTTGCTGCTTGATCATTGTTTCCAATTGCTAAAGTGACCCTTAACTATGGCTGCTAGAGAATTCCCTGGTTCCCTCAAATCAATGGAGAAATCCTAGAACAGTGGGATTTTGTTGTTGTTTTTTTACTAGCCATGTGCTCCGTGCAAATTCTTTGATAGCCGCATGTTCTCGTGTCCTAAATAGGTACTCTAGGACTCAGAATGCTGGTGATGTGACCTCAAAAAAGGAGGTGCGGCTGTGAAGACAAGATGCTGCTATAAAGGCCTGCATGACCTGCCAAAGGCTATCTTTTATAGCACCAGAGAGGAGCAGTTTTTTAGCTTTTGTTCACTGCCCAAATGTTTTGGGAGAAATCTGTGCTAGAGTGGCCAAAAAGGAATAGAACCTACTCGCGTGTACATTCGTTAGGTTATATTATCTGAAAAACTAAGCATATTATGTTATAGAATTATCACCTCTAGTGAAGCCCAGCAAAGAAACTTCGACTCCTACACCAAGAATGGAAAAGAACGACTCCGAGAAGGGACAGCTTTGTCTACTTTTGCACTCAGGCTGGAGTGACTCTGCCCTGTTTTCTCTCCTCAGTTCTTCAGGCTCCCTAGCAGCCGTGGAGGAACGCCTCAGGTGGTCTCGCAAGTCCTGGACTCTGCTTCAGTGAAAAATTGGAGAGAAGTTGCTTTTGGGTTGTTGTTTGAACTTTCCACGAAGAGAGTTCGGATCCAGCATTTATGTGTGTTAAAAATGTTTGCAGCATTTGCCCACTTACGAATGTATGCATTCTCTCTACATCTTTCTACATCTATTGCACGTCTTCCCCATAGCAGGAACCATTAAGACTCGGGGGGGCCACGAAGTACGTAAGTCTTGGCTCTCTGCTCTGGGAGCACTTGCCAGAACAGAGGGACAGACGGGCAAGGGTATAATTGAAATACGAGATCATGTTTGTAATCGAGATATTAAGTGACTGCTATGAGAGGACTGCTCAATGAACCACCAGTGAGCTCCCTGGGGGTCAGGTCACACCTCAGTGGAATGTGATATTTGAGCTTCAGGTACTCTACGGTTTACATACAGCTCGACCCCACCAAATCTCATGTTGATATGTGGTCCCCCTGTGCTGGTGGGGAAGGTGGGGCCCTGTGGGAAATGTCTGGGTCATTGACGGGGAGTTCCTTTATGAATGGCCTGGAATGGGTCTCATGGTAGTGAGTTCTGCTCTCCTTAGACTGGATTACTTCTCGTGAGAATAAACTGATTCCCCTGAGAGGGGGCTGTTATAAAGCGAGGACCCCCTCGGATTTTGCCCTTTCTTTGTTGACCTTCGTGCATGTTACCACCCAGCACAAAAGCCCCCACCGGAAGCTGAGCAGATGCTGGCACCATGTCCCATGAACTTCCCGCCCGGTGGAACCGTGAGCTACAGAAAGCTCTCTTCTTTATGAATTACTCAGTCTCGGCCGGGCGCGGTGGCTCACGCCTGTAATCCCAGCACTCTGGGAGGCCAAGGCCGGCGGATCACGAGGTCAGGAGATCGAGACCATCCTGGCTAACACGGTGAAACCCCGTCTCTACTAAAAAGATACAAAAAACTAGCCGGGCGAGGTGGTGGGCGCCTGTAGTCCCAGCTACTCGGGAGGCTGAGGCAGGAGAATGGCATAAATCCGGGAGGCGGAGCTTGCAGTGAGCTGAGATCCGGCCACTGCACTCCAGCCTGAGTGACAGAACGAGACTCCGTCTCAAATAAATAAATAAATAAATTCCTCAGTCTCAAGTATTCTGTTGTAAAACAGGTACTTATAAGAGGAACAAAGACAGGGTCAAATGTGTTTCACACCCTTATAATCACTTCAGTTGAATTAAAAAAAAGTATTGGGCGTGTGTATTCATTAGGTTACATTATCTGAAAATTAAGCATGTTGTTCATTTCAGTTGGCAAATGCACAGATATGTAACTGCGGTCAATACAAAATACACTGCAGAGCTGTAAGCTACAAATGGAAGCTATCACAGCAAAAGTGAACTTTCTGCTTATTTAACTTTTATATTTAGTACAAAACTATATAGCTTAAATATTTAAAAGGCTTATTTAATTTTTCAAGCCAAAGCTGGTTACGTCTTAAGAGCATGAATCATTCTCAAACATGAATTACAAATAAACAGAGATGCCTGTTTATTCAAAATTCAAATTGGGGAGATCAAAAAATAGACATAAAAACAGATTCTACAAAATTTCATTTAGTTACCACTGAATGTCAAGAATGTACTATTAAAATGAAAATTCTCGTGGTTTGTCACAGGATTAGATGATACCAGATTAACATGAAAAAATCATGAAATATTGAAGGGCCCTAGGAAGTACTAAGAAGTTAAATTCAGTAGACTGTTAATGCTAAATAGGTTTGACTAAGTAGAAATTCCCTGAAAACTTATTACTTCAATATTTTATAAATAGTAACTGAATAAACAAAAACATTTACTTCCTCCCTATCTGTTTCCCCTGCATCCTCCCCCTCTCAGGCGAAGGCCGCCCAAACCCTCCAGTCATTCAGGTCAAAATTGCACACTCAATTTGGATTTCCTTCCTACTTCTACTTCCCACAGCCGTCGGTAAATCCTATAAGCTTTATCTTCAAAATATGATGGGAGCCTGGGCAACATAGTGAGACCCCTATCTTTACCAAAAAATTGCCAAAAATATTAGGCAGGTGTAGGAGGGCACTCTTGTCATCCCAGCTACTTGGGAGGCTGAGGTAGAAGCATCTCTTGAGCCCAGGATTTTGAGGCTGCAGTGAGTCGGGTTCACTCTACTGCTCTCCAGCCTGGGCAACATAGTGAGACCCTATCTCTTAAATATATATATGACCAGAGTCTGGCCTGTCCACCACCCATTAGGCTGTCCAATCATGCCATTCCTCCATGCAATTCTCCAATGGCTCCCTCCCACAAGTCCTTATGATGGCTTGCAAGACCTTAACATTCAGGTCTCTTGTCATCTTTCCACTCAAGCCTCCTAATACTGCTTTCCTCACTCACACTGTTCTACGCATACTGGTACTTTTGCTTTTTTCTTTTGTTTTACTTTGGTTTGTTTGTTTGTTTTTTGTCTCCTTAGGCCCATTCAGCCCTGGTACAGGGGCAAATTCTGTCTGATGTGTTCTCTCAGGGACCTGCTAACTCCTTTACCACCTTCAAGTCTTTGTTCAAATGCCACCTTTGCAATAAAGGTTACCCCAACCATCCTACTTAAAATTGCAGTCTTCCCACTTCCCAAGCTCCCCACCTGATGATCTTTATTCAATATATTTTCCTAAGCAGGAATTACCTTTCAGTACTGTGTAATTTGCACACCTATCATTTCATTGTCTGTCTCCCCCTGTTAGAATGTCATCCTCACAAAGGTTAGGTTTGGGTCTCTTTTCTTCCCCGACCTGTCTCTAAAACAACTCTTGGCACGTAGGAAGTAGTCGTTTAATATTTGTTTAGCCTAAATAACATTGTCATCTTGCTCTCGCTGCTCCTTTTCCCTCCAATTTCCCCTTGAATCCACTCCAATGATGGCATCACTCTGGGTTCTCCTAGTTTACTGGTCACATCTTCTAGGACTTCCTTGCCAATTCTTTTTCCTCTTTCAGCGTAGAAATGGACCATTGGAATGCCGCAGGAACCACTTCTTGATGCCTTCCAATTCTATCCTCCTCCCTTCCTAGGTGACAGAATCCAGTCCCAAGGCTAAAATCACCAACACTATGCTGTTAGCATCAGATTTACACCTCTAGCTAAGAGCTAAGAACTTTCTTCTCACAGCCAGAATTGTACTGAGCTCCCCACTTGACATTTCCACTTGGATATCATCAACTAGGCATCTCAATCTTAGTATGCCCCAAGCCGAACCCCTACCTCTCTCTCAAGATATGCTCCTCTTGTATTCTCCTTCATCTTAGTCAATGACGGCTCGTTGCCCAGGCCAAAAACCTGGAAATATCCCTAATTATTCACTTTTTTTCATGTCTCAAGTTGTATCATCCAAATACGCCCAGCCCCTGACCATCCCCAGCCATGCCACTTTGAATCAAGCCTTCATCTCCTCTAGCCTGAATTATTGCCTTCTAATTGGTTCCACACGATTCTCCAGCTTGCACCAAGGTGGCCCTCCTGAAACATAAGTTGGCTCATCTGGTCTCTCTGCTCAAAACCGTCCAATGTCTTCCAGTCTCAATACACGTTACATCCAAAATGTCTACCATGATCCATGAGGCCCACATGATTCAGCTCCCCCCATGTCTTCAGTTTTCCCAGACTCTCACTCCTCTCCTCTTTCCAGCGACACTGAGCTCCTGGCTGTTCCACAGGCATGGGGTGGGCGGCGGGGGCCACATTCCCACCTCAGGGCTTTTGCACTGTGTTCTCTCCACCTGGAATGCTTTTCCCCCAGAGATCCCCAGCTCTTATTCTCTCACTTCCTTCAAGTCTCTGCTCAAATATTACCTTACCCAAGAAGCCCTCTCTGGCAGCTCAGAATAAAAACAACACCCTCAGCACTCTCCACCCGTTCACCATTCTGTCGTTTTTATCATTCCTACACCACTTGACTTTGTTATATTCATTTGTTTGTTGACATCTGTCAGTGGACAATGTGACCTCCTTGAAAGCTAAGGATTTTTCTATTGTATTAACAGAAAAGTGCCTGGTTTAAACAAAATAGTTTTTAATAAATGGACACTATCTTTCTGAAAACACTTTTACTAAAAGAAAATGATGTATTCCCTTCCTGGGGTAATAAATACTTCATCAAAATTAGCACATAATTCCTACCTCATGTCATACACAGAAATTCACTCAAAATGTATCAAAGGCCTAAATGAAAGAGTTAAAACTATAAAGCTGTTAGACGAAAAGACAGGAGTAAATCTTTGTGATCTCTGATTGGGCAATGATTTCTAAGATATGGTACCAAAAGCACAAACAATACATATGGTACCAAAAGCACAAAGAAAAATAGATCACATGTACCTGATAAAAATTTAAAACTTTTATGTTTCAAAGGACATCTTCAAGAAAGCAAAGAGACAACAGAATAAATGGTAGAAAATATTTGTCTATGATGTATCTGATAAGAGACATATCTAGACTACAGAGAGAGAGTGAAGAATTCTTACAGTTCTACAACAAAAAGGTTAGTAATCCAATTTAAAAATAAGCTAAGGATCTGAATAAACATTTCTCCAAAGAAGATATGTAAGTGACCAATAAGCCCATGAAAAAATGCTCAACATCGTTAGTTATTAGGGAAATGCAAGTCAAAACCACAATGAGACACCATTTCACAACCACTAGAAATAGCTGTAATAAAAAAGACAGATAATAACAAATGCTGGAGGATGTGGAGAAATTGAAGCCTTCATAAACTGCTGGTGGAGATGTAAAATGATGCAGCAACTTTGGAAAATAATTTGGCAGTTCCCCAACACATTAAACAAGTAACCCAGCAATTCTACTCCTAGGTATCTATTCCAAAGAAATGAAAACATATGTCCACACAAACACTTGTTCAGGAACGTGCATAACCACTTTATTCTTAATAGCAAAAAAGTTTAAACAATGCAAATGCTCATCAATGGATGAATGGATAAATAAAATCCACTGAACGGATTGTTATTCAGCAATAAAAAAGAAGTATTGACACATGCTACAATGTGAATAAATCTTTAAAACATTATGCTGTGTGAAAGAAACTAATTTCAAAAGACCAGATATTATATGGTTCCATTTTTATGAAATGTCCGTAATAGGTATATCTATAGAGACAGAAAATGGATTAGTGATTGCCTAGGGCTGTTGAGGCACGGGGATTGGAGATGACAGCTGAAGAGAACAGAGTTTGCTTTGGGAGCTATGAAAATGTTCTGAAATTGTAGTGATGGTTGCATAACTCTGTGAATGTACTAAATATCTGTTATTTATGAGTTTTCTTGCTTATTGCATTTCTCAGAATGTGAGCCTCATGGGAGTAAACACTTTATCCTCTTCACTGCTGCTCCCGTAGAGCCTAGAATGGTGGCTGGCACATAGTAGACACTCAATAAACACGTATTAAATACATCCTAGGGGACAGCATTGTTATAAAGACTAGAAATCAGTGATGTCAGCAGAGCATATAACAGGCACCTGGAATATGAACCCACAGTAAAGGCAAAATTTGAATATTTCTTGAACAGAATAAATATCTTAGATTGAATCATTTTATTCACTGGCAAAAACAGTTTTTGTAAAGAGATGTCTTTGATAACTGAGAGTTTGCTGCATTATTAAATGTTTTAATGAAGTGTCCTCTCATAGAAATTGTTTTATCTAAACACACTGGAGCCTCATCTTAATTTTAACTTTGCTAATTAAGTTATACAAAAAGATTTGCAGAAGGGATTTCACCAAAGACCAACAGCAGTTCCTGCT